GTCAATCAATTCTGTGAAGTGCTTGCGTCCACCAAGTTGTTTAAGAATTGTTGTCTGGAAAGAGGACGCGGACAAGATGATATCCTCTTGCTGCGATGAGCTGCCCTTTTTCAGGGCAATGTTGGGACATCACTGACGTTGAAGCGCTATGTCACGCTAAGTCACGCTGCATGCTTTTCCATTGCAATAGCGCTCTAATATCACACGAAACGCTCCCATAGTGGGACCGATCAGCGCCGGCCTCTAATATCTTGAGAGAGTAGAGTATGGCGCGCGTTGTGTAATCACACAATCTGCTACCCTCCTGTTATTCTATACTTTCCCAAAATGCTCGCGCTCTAGCCTCTCGATACCAGATTACGTGACTAGGCAACGCTACGCTCCTATTATCCCATGCTCTCTCAAAACACTAGCGTCCAGGGTCGACTGATCCATTCTACGGCTGCGTTCCCGTCTACATCATTTGTGTGCAAATGCAACGGTAGCGCGTCGCCGCGAGAAGTCGAAAGTCTTCTCCCTACCTAAGCCGTTATTTATTATCAAGTGTGAATGGTCCAAGCAAGGCTACCACAAAGCAAGAACTGCATGACAAGAAATACAGCTAACAGGTATTCTGCTCACGAGCGCTCCATAAAGTTGAAGCGACGGTGTAGAATGGGTGATATGAGCATCCACTCTAGGCATTCCCCTTCTTGCATCTGCAAAGTCCGTTGAACCGATGGAAAGGTCCGTAACCAGTTTGTCACATGCTAAGTTCAGACATCGTATTCCCAGCAGGCTATTAAGGAATGGTGGGTCTTGCTATCTCGAGACCAATAAGTGAGTTTTCCGACGGTCAATTACTGTTATTACAAATCAATTTCGGTCTTATATACTCACCAGCCAGATCGCCTGGCTGACGCCATGCTCTCCTCCTTCTCCTTAGCCCGACTTCGTCGGGCTGGCCTGGCTTCCCCAGGTGCACTTTATAATGGAAGCGGAACTTGTTCATCACTCAGCTGCTCATGTTGCGCTGTGTTGATCGAGTCGTAATAGACAGAGTAGCCCAGCGAATCTGCACTCTCAAGTCCACGCGTATGCTTGCAGGAGGGAGGTAGTTTTGCCGTTACGCCTACACATACTATATATAGAGCCATAGATATAGTTAGAAACTACATTCGAACAGTACAGCGCACATGGAATCTCAGTGATTTAATTCCTCATTACCGATCGAGTGCTTACCGATGAGCTTCTGCTCATATTTTCTTTCATTACCATGCAATCCACTCCCTGCAGTCCCATAAATGATTGCAGGTGCTAATACTTGGGCAACGTTATACATTTTTCATACTCCCTTATTTAGCCGTTCCCATCAGTAATCAAAAGCTAAAAGAAAAAAGTCTTTGAATGTGCCGCATTGGGCTCTTTCAATCTACAATTTCCCTGAGCTTCCCGTTTCAGGCAAGCTACATACCCCGCCCTCCCCCCCCCCCCGCTCCACCGCTCGATATCATTACATGCATATAACACATGTAGTGTTGAGGCTCTAGCAGTTTGACTGGACAAAAACGGCAAATGGCAACGTTTCTTACAGGCCCTTATCAGTTGTTATTACTGTCTGTCACCCATCCCGACATCCCCACCTCCCCCTCCATATCACTTGCGGGAATCAACGCCTATCTGATGCTGTGTCCTGCGTTATGAATATGGTGGCCTTCCCATTCTGACTCCCCTTATCAAATCTTATCAGCAGCTCACAGTTCCTGTAACCCTCCAAAGATGTTCCTGTCCCATACCCTATATCATGCACGCACACACACGGACATATCCGATTATATAGAGTAGGATAGATGTTCATGTTGGAGCTTATTTACGGAATAATGTTGTGATCTTATCTCATGTATACCTCATGCAGATGTACAGTGGAGCGCTCACCGGACGGTGGGGCGTTCCCTACGACCACGCCGGCGAGCGTCCCGCTGATTGCGTGACGATGGAAAGCCGAGAAATTCCAGGAAATCATCATCATTGCCCCTGCGTCTCTGACACTGACTCTGCGCTCTAACACACCCCGCCGCGCCCTCTTCTCACTCTTCCATCTGAACTCTCGCCGATCGATGGTTGCTGACGCTACCAATCAGCTGATTTCTGCCATAATTTTTGTTGTTTTTCTGCAATATTCAGCTTGTAAAAGCTGAAATTGTTCTAGTTTCGGTTTCAATTTTAGAGGTGAGTATGTTTACTGGAATAAGATTACATTCTGTATGAATTCAGCATGAAACTCTCTTAAAGAACTTGTTTCTTCTTTCTTTTCGCATTTTTTTTCTGAATGTCTTCGTTTAACTGCGATGCTACTTACTAAATTCATGCAAAATGAAATCTAGCTTCCTCGAAACATACTCACCCTTGCTTATTGAAGCTGAACGAAGAATAATTTTAGCTTTTCGAAGCTGAAAACGGTAGCAATCAGGTTAATTGGCGTATCAGCCATTATCGATCGCGGCGGCGTCGGACCGCTTGCCAACGTGGACGAAGGACCGCCCCACCGTCCGAAGAGAACTCGACTGTAATAAACTCAGACTCAAGGGAGGGCCAAGCGCTCAGTTACCAAGTTCTCGTGTAGCTGATGAGAAACAGATATCGAACTACGCTGACATTTTCCGAATGGCAAGGCGGCCATTGTCTTCCAGTGCCAAGGGACAGTCTACAAGAATTAACAAGCGAGTGACTCAGCTACAAAAGTTGCGTTACTTCTTCAGACTGACGCAACTGGAGCAGGCCTTCTTCAGCACGTTGGCGACGACGAATGGCTTCAACTTCCTTTGACGGTAAAGGCAATGTTGTAGGACTGACTCCTGTTCACAGAAGGATGTTGCAGTTGTGTTCCACGTCGAAGTTCTCTTGCTGCACATATACCTGATCATTCCGCTATGCAAGTTTTGATGATGAGCGACATGGTGGGAGTGGATTTCTGACATCCCTTCCTGTATTATCAAATACGACAGTATGCTCAAACTCTAATTCGTACGTATGCATTCTTATACCAACAAGAAGAGAGTTCAACGTACTTGACCTCTGTCTCACGGTGGTAAATGGTTGATAAGACTCTACGAAGGGACTCATATATTCTTATCATTGATAAAACTAATATTCACACCGTCATCAACGTCCCTAATACTGAATCTTTATAAATTGGTAGTGCAAGAGCTCCCCCATCTTGAACAGCGACGACGACTGCAACGTCTCTTATCGGCCCGTATCATGTTCTGCTTATCTTTCAACTCTTTCACTGCCGCCTCCTTCCATCTGCCCTGCGTTGAGTCCTCATATCACCTTTCTGCACTCTCTTCGCTGCGGAACGGTTGGGCGTGTCCAGCCAGTATGAGTGGTCACCCTCATTTTGACAGGGTCTTCTGGCGCCTTCATGTGAAACATGCATCGGACACAAAAGCATAGACAACAAGCCACTCGCGCCAACGCAGGCGTTACGAACAGCCCACCGCCGCAATGAACTACACTAAAATAAACCTGCTGAAAAGAAAATTCACCTGATGCTGCCTTGAAATGTTACTATCCTTCTTACACCCATCTTATGAATCTAGGAATAATTTTCCTGTCCCATACGCTATTATAATATCTTGAATCGACACACTACTGATGCTGTCGCCCCCCACCCCCACCCCCCCTGTTCCGTGACCCTCTCCTTCTGTACCCTTAGTAATTACCCCCGGCTGATTTCACTTGATTATCTGCGTGCCAATACTGTTTTTCATCACAACGTCACACGCACTTTCGGAACGCAATGTCTCACTGCTACTGACGGCGCATATTATTTTCGGGACAGAAGAGAGACGCAAACGACAGATCAATACTTAGCTACACTAATATAAGAGTATATTGACATCAAACATTCCACTCAACATGTAAGTGGCTCAGCCATCGTTCTTTCCCCGTGTAACAGCCCATACCTTGGCTTGCCACGTGTTTCTTGCACATATCGATGCTTTTGCAGCCATGACTTATATCTATGTTCGTTTTTTGTTTCGATGTAACCGTGTCAACAGCTGCCTTGTTTTACTTGTCTGACTGCAGGGCGTCCGTAAAGGACAAACTAAATCTCAGCTTGCCTGTCGTACACTGTAGGGCGGCCACAGACTGTGTTTTGGTTAACACCTTATCTTACATGGTTGGCCACCCATTTTGCTTTCCTTGCTGCGTTTGAACAAAGACAAGCGAAGAAGAGAAGAACATATAAGCTGCAGTGTCCACCCTCCGTATCCTTCTCCATTTTCGAGCTTAGGGCTTCACATTATAAAGTGGGATACGAGAGGTCAACATTTCCACGCACATCCATCCAAAGAGCGATTAATAATAACTTTCACATAGCATTAAGTGCGGAAGGAATTCGACGATATCGCCAGCACTCCGCCCGACTGAACTCGCACACTATAGACAGCTTCGCCGAGGTTTATATGATCATAGGCTGGCTAGGTCACTCGTGTTTAAAATACCCGCCGGATCTGAGCGATTACCGTTTCAATTCCATGGGATGTGAACCAGACATCCGCGAACTTACCGCTTGTGCAACGTCAAATTCTTAACGTGAAACCAAATGCCGTATGATCTCATTTCCTCGAAACTTGAATACGCGTTCGCTTCTCGACGAACCTGGGAATTACTGGCGCTTGTCAGCGCAGTGCAAATTGGGAATCTACTGGGACTATATACCAGCTCATCAAAACGAGCCCGCACCAAGTCTCCCTACACATTTCTTTCTGCGCTGAATTCCTTAGAATCATCGGAAGAGCCATCTCCTCTTGTTGTCTAGGTTCTACAAGGGAGCATCTGATAAGCAGAAGCGTTTTTAGCCATCTCATCCCTCCTTGAAGCCTTAGTTGTGCATGCACCTAAATACCGCAATGATACTGATCGCTCATATTATTGCGTGCATCTGAAACGCAGAAAAAAATCACAATCAAAATTTTCCGCATGGATCATAAAACGAAATCTTTTTCGCATTACAACCAAACACGGACTCATCTTCATCCATAACTGATAATGCCACGATAGTGTGCCTCAGGATCCTGAAGTAGCGAGTGAATAATCGAGCGAGGTTGAACCAATGCGTTTTTTTTCGTTCTCACATTTTGCAAATATATCGCCCACTAAATTCCGCCTATCTATTCCACTTGATTCTGTTCTGATCTTTCATCATCTACACTTCCTCCGAAAAAATGCATATGATTTTTGCGTGATTCCATTGCGTGGAAGAATCAAACCTCTGTTTCCCAATTTAGACCGCTCAATCGCTTTTCTTTCTGATCTCAGTGCACTCATACGTAATTTCCTGAGTTCTTCGTACGCAGCTACTTCTGAATTAACGAATATCCGGATCGGCCCCATGAGTAATGGCGTTTTTTTCTCACTTAAAATTTCACGGCAAAGATGAAAAGTTTAGCCATTGAGCACATAGATTCGCAGAGTATTCTTTGCACTACAAGGTAGTCGTCGTTTTCTTTTGAATACTCTGTTTTCACTAATTTTTAAATGCTCCAATTGCTCCCGAGTGTGAGGTCGATGGAATTGAACATTTTCGAAGTTCTCTTTTCTACATCTGATAGAAAAGCTAAAGCCACACAAGCCTTGCTGTAAAGTATATGGCCAAAAATCTATGTCTCTTGCGAATGTTTATAACGGTTGAACGACTCGAAGATTTTATTCCACCTTATTAACAGGGATCATGCTGAAAGATAGGGAAACTGTAGAAGTCATGGAATGCTCCCACATTCCAACTGAATACCTTCATTTCATGGAAGATGTTCAAAAACTTGGTGGGTTCTGCAGACAGTAGACACCCACGAGGGTGCACCATGCACTGCACATTTACAAAGTCCGGATTCCAATTCTCAATCGCCTGAACCAATTTCAATCTGTCCTGAGAGACACCATCCTTTATTCACATTCGTCTTTAGCTGCTTTCCCAACTTTAAAGCCTAGGTTAAGTGCAAAACCTAGTTGACAAAACTCATACTTGTTTTGACCTGCCACCCAATTTCAATCGAGTAAAACCCGTCAGAAATCAAGAACCTGTAGGAAGGTAGTTATGTTAGGTTGGCAAGAAAGTCCTGCGACGCTTTGATTTAATTATTTTAGAGAAAAAAGGAAAAAGCATTTAGAACGTTTTCACTCCTATCTGGTGGAGAGTGTCCTCTGAGGTTTTTGCAGACTGTATATCATGACTTTGTGGAAGCCTTCAAAGCCTAAATGTTCCCCGAAGGAAAAGACACTTTTCGACCTATCCCATATTGTGAGTACATATAGGGCCATTCCGAAGTAGTCGAATAAGTTGATACCTGCCTTGTCTTCAAGGAAGGATATTGCTTGCCATGGCAGAGAGTAGCGTTTGCATCAGCGCTTCCGAGCTGGATTTATTTAATTCCGGGGGTAGGCAATGTACAGGTCGGCCACCAGCACAGAATGACGGCCGTTTACTCAAAGTTCCGAGTAAGTTGGCAACCTCTCTAGGCTCCACCTAACTGACAACTGCCATGCTTCTCCGCAATCTCGGTTGTAGGGAAAATTTTTTGTAGTGTGCCTCATGAGTTGGACCAGTCTGACAAAGCGCATAGGATGACTGAGTTTCCCTTTTCTTGTACACACTGGAAGAACTTTGTGAGATCTTGTGCTTGTTAGCGAGTGTTGGAGTCCTTGCATAAACTATGGACACATCCCTCGCACGCAATCGCCATGGAGAAAAAAGTGGATTGCTTTAGCCAAAGCAGTTGGGTGGCATGGAACAGAGAATTTCTCTGTTTCATTGGTGCACTTCTAAGAGATTGTCGCGTAGAAATGTGTGGCCCCCAGTCGCACGTCGATCAACTTCGGCAGGATGCTGCACTGCTTGAAATTCATGCAGAAAAACTACTCTACTTTCTTTGTGGATAGCTCGGGCAATGCAGAAGACGCGCATGTGAGGAATCCAAGCTGAAGATAAAAGTATCGTATGGACCTCGACTCAGGGTTTGTGACCTGTAGCCCCAGCTCTGTTTTACCTAATAGCAGCCTCTAATTACCACCTCCCATGATCCCTAACACATCCTTAAAAAAGCAAAAATTCCGAAAATCGACGTATACTCGAAAATGAGGTCCATCCTTCTTTTTGCCGTAGTTCTACAGGACTAGAAATGAGGAGTGTGTGCAAAAGGTGTTCACTAGTCTAAGGCGCTCAATGAGTGGTGGAACTCTTGTAGATTGAAGGTGCTTTTAGTGAGGGAAATTTGTACCAAAAATTTTGGCTGTGTGGGCAGGACTTCTCTTCAAGGCTAATACTGTGTTGTAGGCACAGAATTGTCTGTTAAGCAGAATAGAGAACACTGGGAACGATTCTGACTTCACATATAAAAATCTGCGTAAGAAAAAAACGCCATTACTTATGGGCCAACCTGTAATATCCGAATTATCGTTTTTTCACACTTAGCTATGCCATCTCATTTATATATATTACCAGTCGGATCACCCGGCTGTCGCCGAGTGCTCCTCCTTCATCACGGCCGGCTTCGCCGGGCCGGCCTGGCTTCGCCAGGCACTCTTTCTTTAGGCGAGGTAGAGTGTGCAAAATACGCCGAACCGTCACAGTTCATTTTCCAGCAAAATGTAGAAAAATAGTTGAAAATAGCTCGAGCAATGGGTTAAAGTTGGATCAGCGAGTGAAGTTGAAGTTGAACCGGCGCTATGATATTCGGATAGTATATTAATTCAAAAAGAGTTGAGACGCGCAGCACGCACGGACTAGAGCCGCTTATACAGTCTCATCATTGCGGGACGGTGGGCGTGCCAGCTGGAAGGAGTTGCGGGCACACTGTTAAAGCCGTTCTGACCTTTTTGTTGAACGCGTATGCGACGAAAACCGGCAGAAAACGAGTAATACGAAGGATATGATCATATACAGTAATGCACTTGCCCGCTTCAAAAACTGGTGCAGAACGATTTTGCCAAACCGCACCAAAGCAGCCGCACTGCCACGCCCCACCGGTCCGCAATGATGAGGACTGTATATAGAAGATTGTATCCGCTGTCGCAACTGTAGGGCGGCTGGGAATCTAACCTTTGGACCACCTGCTTTTCTCGGAGTTAGTGATAAAAATGCTTTCATAATCCTCACCTAAAATTCAGCAACCTGTTAGGAGCAGACTCTTTAAAGCATGCTAGCGGCTTGCTGGCGTTTCTTCAGCCACTGTTTCTTTTTGTGGACATGCCCTTCCGCGCTCGGGCAAGTTTAATAACGGCTCGAAATGGTCTCCTTCAATTGTTGATCGACGATAGCAGTCATAGACATAGTGATAAAGCCAGTTGCTGCAGTTCATGCCAACTGAGTAAACAACCGCCATGCTTCTGAACTCCAGTTGCTTTAGCGGCCGTACATGATGTCAATAACGATAAAAGCCCACAGGAGTGGTTTGGTGTGGGCAAACTACTGGAAAGATAGATAAATCGATCATATGCATTTCGTCATATGGATGTAAGAGGTGTTGGCGGATTTCCGCATAGATGGAGGGTTTTTCATATGTCTACTAGTCACGGTCCACTCGTCTCACCCGTTCAGTGGGTGTCCGTCCTCGCCCCTATCCTCACTTCTCGAAATCATGTCCGCAGCGGTTGGCTTGCAATTGGCCGCTAAGAATTTGTGGCCCTCCGGCGATACGTTAAGCCTTATCAAATCTTATGCAATATGTTATTCAGATTGCTTGATCACCCAACTCCCGACGCGTGGCCTTATACCGTCTCGGAACCACGGTCTCAATTCACTGCAGCCGATGTTAGGAATTGGGTGACCCTCCGCGTCTAAGGTCCCCTTATCAAATCTTATCAGGTGTTATCAGCTTCTGTCACACAACACAGCAACCATGTCCACCACCCCTTTGCCCTGTACGCACTTCTGAAATTCAATGTCCCACGGTTTTGCTGCAACCTTGCGCTAGTTCTAAAGAATTTGGTGACATCCGCGTCTAGGGTCCCATATCGGATCTTATCAGATGTTATCAGCTCCTGTCAGCCCCCCATCTACAGCATACCTGCTTGAAACCAAGGTCCACAGCTGCTGCAACTCGCCACGAACTCGGACCCTTACTTTCTAAGGCCCCTTATCAAATCATATCAGGTGTTATCACCTCCTGTCACCCACAGAAGTGTTCCCGTCCTGCCGTGTATATCACTGACGGTCCCGCAGCTGCTGCAAACTTGCGCTACAAAAATTTTTTTTTTTTCCCCCCCCGGTTCAACACCTCCCCTTTTAAGGCCCCTTATCAAATCTTATCAAGTGTTATCACCTCCTGTCACCCACCAAAAGTGTTCCTGTCCAAACCCCTATATCATATCTTGGAAATTACTTTCGCTTAACAGCTACTGATACGGCGCTACGAATTTCGTGATACACACATCAAAACTCAACACACAAGACAAGCACGTAGCGGATTATTAATAGCAGGATATTTTCGACCATTTCAGACAATTTCAGACCATTTCAATGCTCCGAAGGCCGTTCCCCTTTTCCACCGTGGGCTCCAATTCCCCAGCAGACATGTAATTTAGGAACCCTTTCGAGCCACACTTTTTATTTGTGGCTCCTAACGAATGCAGCCAGTTGGTGTCGTAAGCAGTGTCCAGTCCTGTGTTCTGTTAAACTAACATAAATGCCCAGCTCAAATACGCAACACATGAAAGTGCTATCGGCGATTCTGCTAGCGGTCTATCCCTCCTCTCTTCTTCACCATTTGTTGAGCGAGCAACTGACAAGACTTTATATTGTAGTTCTTGTCACTCGTTTTCCACCAATTGCTGTCGCATACCAGCAATAACTAGCAGAGAACATGGTTTTGGCCAAGTGCACTCACATACACATACCGCCTGTAGAACGCCTATCGTCGGAGCGCAAGTAGAGTTTATGCAGGGGGCGGTAAGCAGGCGGGCCGGCGTACCCCCATCATAGATACCGACAAACCAACATAAGAACTCCATAAAAAGAGTTGTGATGTTTGGGGAAGAGCAGCAATCAACGTATTGCCGTTATCTGTAAGGCCGTAATTGTTCATCCCTATCTGGCCAAACATTCCTTTTTGTCATGCGTTTGTAGGCACTAAAATTATTGTAGATAGCTTGCTTTTTTGTCTCTGGCTCAGAAGAGGTGAGTAGCGGAAGCGGTAGACATACAATCCCACAAATATGCAGGGATCTTGGACCTAGAGCTTGATTTGCTCATATTATATCCTCGCGTTAGTGCTTCACCTAGTACAGCATTCAAACAATTATGGTGTTGGAGTTGCACACCTCAAGAGAATGGGCATCAAGGTTCCTTGTCTTTTCGCTTGTGTTGAGCAACCGTATTTCAATACACTACACTTTTTCTGCGTTAGCTGATAACTTAATGTCCTTGCTCTCGAACGGCTATATAAGGAATAAGGATTCATTGAGCCTCCACTGCATAGATTGCCACTTACCTGTACACTGCACCAAAAGTCCCTTCCCCTAGCAATTCCTGTACGAAGTAGATATCCTTTCCAGCTCTAACACGCAAACCCTTAAGATGTATTATTAATCGTACTTCTCTATTTGCAGCTCTAACACGCAAACCCTTAAGATGTATTATTAATCGTACTTCTCTATTTGCACTACTAATTTGCCTGAAAAAATATGCTCAACTTTTTATAAACGAACATCATCGTAACTGGATGGGCATACTATCCATACAGATGAAAGGAACTTGGCGGACGACTCACTCTTTTCAAGCACAGCCGCTCTTTCTCATCTTCTTCTTCCATACCGCATCCAGAGAAGATTCGTAGCAAAATGACCTCCACCTACCAGACACCTCTTTTAAAAGGATTGATATCGACAGCAAAACACTACTAGTCGCTTTCTTGTGGCCAACATCTCTTCGAACCATCTATTGCCGCTATGAGCTCCACGCTCATGTTGCTCCTTTCTGTGTTCGTAAATAGAAGCACTGCCCCACCAAGCGTGACTGTATCGACCCTACTAGATCACCCAACCCACTTATTGATCTTGACCGGCAAGATTTTAATCATTCAGCGGATGTTTCGACGACATCAAAGGTGAGGACAATTTTGGCATGACTGCTGAGGATTACAAACAAATGCTCCCCATTTCTTAGCACGTAGAGGGTAAATCTAGACTTAACCTTAGATTAGAAAGCGCTGAGCCAACGCAACGCATTGCAAGCTCTCATTCGACTAGCTCTCTTTCATTCCCGCACGTGGTAATCCCTCTCAGCCTTGTTCCAAATCTGCTCTCCAGCGCAACAGGAGGTAGAGTCGCTCTATGTTAATTTCTGGTATTGAAGACAGAAGAAAAACCTGCCACCCCTTATCGTGTTTTGTATGAACCAGGTTGCTAGCAATATCAATGACTATTTGCCAGTTAATCGTACTTCTATTTCCATTTATCGACTGGGTCGCTATACTGAGAGTTGCTCAAGATTATTGAGGTTGGCCTTCTCCAGTCTTTTTTTGACAAGAGTTTTTTCTACTGAATGTGTCCTCAATGCCTAAGAACTCCTCTGCTGTGAATTTGTCAAGGGTAGTAAGCAAGTTCGTCTTATACAGCCTGTTGATGCCCTGCTGCTCTTCTACATTCAGTTATCAACTTCTATCTCACCTGTAGAGTGTATTTTCAATGGATAGGTATTGAAGAGCTCAGATCAAATGCGCAGCTTGGGGACTCGTGTAATTAGCAGTTTGAGTTTTGAAGAGCAGAATGATCTCTTTTTCGCGAATCCTTATCCACGCTCTTTACTGTTTGTCGTAAAGATTACGAAATGTAATATTCCGATATTGCTTGAGCT